ATGAGATGACTAGACTGAGCACCTGTTCCTTTTAGGGAACCTGCATGTATATACCTGTATCTGGGTCTGTAGTTACTCATGCCTGAAGAGTGGGATCCCCATTTTATAGTTCAGCCAATGCTGGGGCTTACTTTGTATCTGGTTCCTCTTAGCTCCACTCCCTAGGAATGGGCTTCATTCCATTCACTTGTTTGGAAACAATCCATAATATAACCTGACTTTTTTTTCTTTATTGATTTTTAGAGAAAGAGAAAGGGAGAGGGGGAGAGAGAGAGAGAAACATCGATGAGAGAGAATGTCAATTGGCTGCCTCCTGCATGCCCCTCATTGGGGATTTGGCCCACAACCTGGGCATGTGCCCTGATTGGGAATCAAGCCAGCAACCTCTTGGTGCATGGGTTGTTGTTCAACCACTGAGCCACACCGGCTAGGCCTAAACTGGCTTTTAATGTGGCCCTTCATTTTTCACTCTACAATCCATGCATTTTTTTTCTCTAGCCCTGTTATACTAACAATAGATGCCCTTTGATTACTGATGACTGACCAGGAATTTACAACACTCCTTTTGGAACTTGGGCCCGTCATGACAGCCCATACTTTCCTGTGGAGTATCTAAGCTCTACCCTGTTCCCTTATATTCCTATTCAGTCTACTTTCTCCAGTCTTAAGTGCACATCTACTTCTAGCACACATGCACAACTAGCACTATATAATACTCTAATCCTCTTTTGGGGATTAACTGACAAATATAATTACCACAGAGATTATAGAGAGAAGTCCAAAAAGAAGACTGAAAGAAGGTGTGAGGGAGGAGGAAAACTAAGAGAGTATGGTGTTTCCCAAAAGGGGGAGAGTGTTTCAAGAAGCAGTTTTCTTAGGGCACAGACTGACATCCCTCAGAAGTGGGGGTGGGGGGTGGGGGGGTGGGAAGAGATAAACCACAGAACTTATATGCATGTATGCATGACCAGTGGACATGGACAACTAAGCCGGGGATGGGGCGGAGGTGGGGTGGCGTGGGGGGTGCCAATGGGGTAAAAAGGTAAAATATCTGTAACAAAAATAAATAAATAAAAAATTCATAAAAAAAAAAGAAGAAGCAGTCTTCTTCCCTCACTGGCCATACCTTTTCTACCTCATTTGCAAGTTCCTCCTCATCTTATTGCCCATTAATTACAGTTCATCCCAGGGCTCACTCCCTGAACCTATGCACCAGTCTACATTTACCCCAAGTGGTGTCATCCACTCTCTAATCATACTCTTCAAAACTTCTGTGAAGACTATTCCCTCTCCCTGGAATTATCTTCCACACAGCCTCTTCCCTCTTCTCTTTGAATTTTCTGCTCAAGACAGTCACATTCTCAATAAAGTTCACTGACCAGCCTACTTAAAATGGAATCCTATTCCAATATTTGTAATGCTTCTTGCCTGCTTTAATTTTCTTTGCACCTTATTTATTTTGCTTAGTGTTTGTGCTCCCCCATCATTAGAATGAATGTCCCACAAGTGCATGGGTTTTTGTTTCTTTTGATTATTGCTATATTTCCAGCTCCTAAAACAGTACCTGAAACATAGTAGATGCTTATTGAATGTGTTGGCTGAGTGATAGGAGAGAAGAGCCAAAAAAGAAAAGGACAGAGAACTATTAGATTCTGTTACATGAAGTAGACTGAAACATGAACCAGGGAAAGAACCTAAATGTCTATTAATAGAGGCATGACTTATTTCTGTCTTCCTTCAAGAAATATTTACTGAGCAGCCTCTATGTCCTAAGTACTGTTCTAGGTGTTCTGTATTCAGTGATGAATGAGACAAAGCCCCTGCACTCAAGAAGTTGACATTTATGTCAGAGGAGACAGACAATAAACAAACACAAATATATATCAGGTGTTCATAAGTACTATAGAGAGAACTAATGCTGGGTAAGAGAGGTAGGAAGTGCTTGGGTAATAGTAGGGTGTTGTTTACATGGGGTAGTCAAGAAAAAACTCATTTGGTCGATCCCTGAAAAAAGTATGGTAGTGAGCAAAATAGGCACTTAGTAAAAGGGTGCTGCAAGCACAGGGCATAGTAAGTGCAAAGGCCCTGAGCTGGTAAGAGTGCCTGGTAGGCTCAAAGAACACCAAGTAAGCCCTATGCCTAGAATGAACTAAGGAAGGCAAGAGTGCCAGGAGATGAAGGTAGAGAGATAGCATGGAAATCTTTGGTTTTCACACCAAGAGAAACGGGGAAGTTGCAGCAGAGTGACTTGATTTAACTTACACTGTAAAGTCAATCACTCTGGCTGCAGTGTGTAAAAGACCGTAGTAACAAGGGCAGAAGCACAGAGACCAGGTAGGAGGCTACTGCCAGGTGAGAGAGACCAGGTGTGAGATGATAGTGACTTAGAAAAAAATGGGATGCATTCTGAAAATAAAGCCCATAGCATTTGCTCATGAACTGGATCTAGAGCAAAAGAAAGAGAGCCACCAAGGAGGACTCCAAGGCTTTTCACCTAAGCAACTAGAAAGCCAGAATTGCCACCAGCTGTGATCGGGAAGGCTGTAGAAAACAGCTTTGGGGAGATCAAGAGTTCAGTTTTGGCACAGAAGTAGGGTACAGACTAACAAACCTCAGAAGAGGGGGTGTTGGGGGTGAAGAGATAAACCACAGAACTTATATGCATGTATGCATAACCAATGGACAAAGACAACAAAGCTGGGGATGGGGCGGGGGGGATGAGGAGGAGGGTGTCAATGGGGGAAAAAGGAAAAACATCTGTAACAAAAACAAATTAATAAAAATAATTTTTTAAAAAGAGAGTTCACTTTTGGACATGTGAAATTTGAAATACCTATTATACATCCAAGTGAAGATGTCAATTAGTCAGTTAGATATATAAATCTGGGGAACAGGAAAGAGCTATAGGCTGGTGATACAAGTTTTGGAGCCATCAGTATGTAAGTGTACATTTAAAGCTGCAACTTGAATGGAATCACCAAGGGAGTGAGTGTCGATAGAAAGGTGCTCAAAGATTGATCCTGGGCACTCCAATATTTAGTGTTGGGGAAGAGGAGATTGAAAAGAAACAACCAGTTGGGAGTATGATATCCTGGAATTTAAATTTTAAAAAAAAGCGATTCAAGGAGGAATGAGTGTCAGTTGGATAACATGTCACTGGTAAGACATGATGTGGACTAAGGACTGGCCACTGGATGTGGTAATATGGAGATCACTTACGACTGAGATAAGAACACTGAGGTTAAAATCCTTACTAGAATAGGTTCAAGAGAGAATAAGAAAAGAAGTTGTGACATAGCATATAGAGAAATTTTTAGAACTTTTAAATGAAGGGAATAAATATACTACTAAATGGTACTATATTCATATGTGGAATACCATTGAGCCATTATAATTAATATACCAATCTAGATAGATCTCAAAAACGTAAGTACAGAATGATGCCAATTATAATCAACTTTTAAAAATCATGTAGAATAGTACTACATATTTTTCCATAGTAAAAGTACGTAAAATGCATCATAGTCATTGTCTCTGGAGAGGTGAGGGTAACTGGGACTAGAAGTCTGCCAAGGAGTTTTTTATTTTATTTGTAAAATTTCACTTTCAAATGATCTGAAAAAATTATGATAAAAAGTTAACATTTAGTAATTCAAGATGTTGAAGCATGGATATTTGTTATCCTGACTTTCCTACATTTTTTACATTTTTCCAAATTGACATCAACAACAAAAACATGAGTTAAGTCAATTGGTGGTAAGAGTTGAGGACTGGATGACTTTAGAGTTTCCATTACCTGTATTACATTACATGAAATTTATGCAAGGTACCAGAGCTATAAAAAGGAGAACTAGTGATTGCAAACAATTTTTAACTATGTAAAGAAAAAAATTTAATTATGAAAACATTACCAAACAGGCAGAACAGAAATAACAGACTAAAACGAGTTAGAGAAAAGTTGAATAGAAAGCCTGAAATCAGAAAAATTCCAAATATTTACCTGTATTAATAATTTCTCCCATTGGAAGTCTTGCACAGAGAGAAAAAATGCAGCCTTATTAAAACCTACTTACTTTTTTTACCCGCTTGATGCAGAGTAGAAGTCACCCCAAACAACAAAATGGCAAATAAAACAAAACAAAATCAAACAACTTTTGCAGAAGGGAGGAAAACCAGCAACAAACAGTAGCTCACAACATTTGGTATAAACTAAGAATGTAAACTAAGTTATATTAGAATCTCTGTTATGTGCATATTGAGTATTCCTATTTTGCATTATCTATTAATTCTGGAACAGCTTTTCTTAACCCACTTCTGTACATCCCTTCTCTTCCCCATTTCTAAGGTTCCTCTCTCTATTCCATTTAGCCATCTCACAGAACCTTTGTGAAAAAGAAGGCTATTTGTTTTTCCAATGCAAAGAATGGATATGGATGAATTACCTTCCATTTTAAATTATCTATATCATGGTATTTTCTGTTAGTGAAAACCATGAGGAGTTTTAACTCTGTCTCCTACTTTTAATATATTAAAAGTTTTTATCTTACCTTTCTATGCATAGGAACCTGCTGTGAAGTCACTGGATAGGGCACTGGAAGTGGTACCTTGAAACAAAATGTCAGTTACTATATAGTACATTTTCTACTTATATTTAATAAGAAATACTATAAGATACAGAAAATATTCTGTTACAAATTTAATACTAAGAATAAATATAGTGAATAGTTTATAGCCAAGACAATGATCTTTCCCTGAGCAAGAGAAATTTAGGAGTTTTAAGGATTTTTAATTATTGGTGTGTTGTGTTGGAAATCATAGCAGACTTCACAGGAGCTCACTTCCCTGAGGAGTGGGAATTTGTTTGGACAACATTACACACCCAAGAGAAATATGAACTTTTAGATAAGAAAGAGTTATGACTCTTCTTTTTATACTGCATAAATAAAATAATAACATTAGTAAACAAAATGAAAGAAAAATTTCAACCACAATCTTACTACCTCCAAGAAATAAAACTTTCTTAATTTTTCAACATTCCCTTCCAATCTTTGGTTATGACATCATTTGGATATATGAGATAACATGAACATAAAGTTAATTTGGTTTTCACACAGCAGATGCAAAGAAGAGTAACATACAATATTTAGTGCTATTAGCATAACATCAAATTATGCCTGGCTTTCAACCCTGATTTAGTCTCCTTGCCTATACCAGTCACAACTTTTTAATCCTTGCCTTAGTCTCTTTGTGTACTGCTTGGTGATATAACCTCAGACGTACCCCAGAGTGCTAGTGACTGGCCAGAAGGACTTGCACAAAGAGGCAAAAATACATTTTTAACATCAATCTTTCTGATCTTTCCCAAAGTGTTCTTATACCCTGGCTCTTCTCTCTGCCATAGAACTTTTTCTTCATTCTTGATATATATTAGCTGAGCCAAGTTGGTAACTGTCTAATGAATAATTTCTATTCTTGCAGCTTGTGCTTTATTACCAGACACTTGTTACTCAAAGTCTGATCCATGGACCAGAAGCATCAACGTCAGCTGGAGCTTGCCAGAAATGCAGAATTTCAATTCCCATCCCAGACCTGGTGCATTATAATAAGACCCCTCCCCCCAGGTGAGTCATATGCACATAAAGCTTGAGAATAAAAAAGTGTAGCAAGGGTCTAGAAAATTCGGTCAAGGAAGAAGTATGCCCAGCATTTTCACAATTCCCCCAGAGCATCTTTATTATTGTTAGAGGGAATGCTTATTTTCCTTGCCTTCCTATTTTCATGTCCCTCTCTGGGTGCTGAGGAGATTTAATTTAATGGTCTATGTTTCATAAACTAGTGGGTGGGAGTACTGTGTCACAAAATCACTACTGCCGTCACCATCATCATCACCATGTCCATCATCATATTGCTGGCTAATATTCATTGAGCACTTACTGTGACCTAGGCACTATTCTAAGCAGTTTATGTGTATTACCTCATTTAATACTCACAACAATACACTGGTCTACATCCTTTAGTCCTTGGGGCCAAATGTGTTTTGGAATTCAGAATGTTTTGTATTTTAGAAAGATAATTACAAATTACACATAGAACACATTAGTATCACCTCAAAGGGAGCTAGAATAGCACCCTGAACACATTAATTTTTCTTCAGCAAAATGCAAATTAAAAATTCATGTATGAATATTCACATTTAGTGCAATAATGAATATAGTCTCATTATAGTACAGGTAAAGTTTTTCAGCCAAAATAGCTTTTGTTGTGTTTTTTATTTTTTTTATTTTTGCAAACTTAAAGGAAAATTCATTTTCCAGAAATTTTTGAATTTTAGAACTGCAGATAATTTATTGGAGACCCATATTTCAACTTTCAATCTATTAGCAACTCCTATCAATTCTATCTGTATATCTATCTCTCAAATCTCTTTCTTTTGATCTACTGCCACCACTGTAGCATTGTAGACCTGGCCACTGTAGATCTCTTGTTTGAATGACTTAAAAAGATTTCTGAGTTGATCAATCCATATCTATTTCCCTATTATCCATCTTTCACACTCCTCCTGGACTAATCTTTCAAAAATATGAAAGTGACCGTGTTATAGCTTTGGCTCCTCACTGCTTATAAGATAAAGCCCAAAATCCTACACAAGTTTCTATAAGATATGACCTCTGTTAAACACTCTAGCTTTGCCTCTTGTTGTACCCATCATACATTATGTTATAGCCATGTTAAATTACTTACAGTTTTCTGAATAGCCCATGGAGTTTCCTGCCTTTGCTTACACTACTCCCTCTGCTTAGAATCCCCCATTTGCCAATCAGTGATTGTCAATTGACCTCATCTCCTTTGGCCTCATGTTCCGCTCCTTTATGAAATTAACCAACCCACTCTCTAAAGAATTCCACCTTATTACTTATAATATTCAATGCTTCTGTTTGATGCAATGTCTTTCTGCACGATAGTTCCTGTATCTTTATCTCTCAGCACAGTTCTTCATACCTAGTAAGTACTCAATAAGTGTGAAGCAAATAGTAGAAGTGAAGACTCTGTGATAGGGAGGGAACTACAGACCTTATAGAAACCCTAAATTTGAATTTTCACATTTTAATTTATGAAATAGTTTAATATATTTATAACAAATGTTAGCACAATACATTAAAGCCGATTAAAAAGAAAGCATGTCTTGCTCTGCCTATTTCCTTCATACAAATTTCTATGCTATGTTATTTACATATATCAAAGAAAGTTAAATAAAAATGTAAGGTAATAATGCATCACAGATTTTACCATGTGGAGAATGGGAGAAACAGAAATGGGATCCCAGAAGGCTGATGTACAGGTGCAGGTATTCAACTGCCAGTTCCTTCTACCAGTGATTTCCACCTCTGAAGATTGATGACACTTCATGTCAGATCTAAAGTGGAATTTATAAATCAGCCCATCTGGGAGAATGACAAATCTACCATTTAAACATCTAGTCAGGATATAGCCTTTCAGACAATGTTTATGCTTACCAACAGGTAAGAAAGAGATAAGAAAGGAATAAAAAGAACAAAGCCAAAAAAAAAAAAAAGGCCACTAGCTATTTTTTATATGAAATTACTAAATGCTTCAGCTTAAGTATGATAGATAATGCCAAATTTAAATTCAATAGTAGCAGTTTCCCATAAATAAAGTGACTTGAATGAATACATTTTATTCTCAACTATTTTAATAGTTTCAGAGGGGGAAAAAAAGTAGTATTCTCCATGATGGTGGGTCAAAAGGGCATAAGTACTAAATTCTGAGCCCCACCAAGCTATTTACTAGCTGTATAACCTTGATTAGATAACTTAACCTCTTTCTTTATTTGTAAAATGGAGATAAATAATGTTTTATCTATCTGCTTCATAGAATTAGAGTTATGAGAAAAATAATGCCATATGGGAATTATTATGTCTAAATAAGATAATAAATAGCAAAAAAGGAAACAATTCTTATTGGACATCTATTCTTAACAAGGCTCTATTAGATGTTTTCACAATCTTAAATATCATTTATTTTTCATACCGACCATGTGAAGTAAGTATTATAAATTTTCATTTTATGGATGACAAATCTGAGTCTCAGAGAGGTAAATATGTTGCTCAAGGTCCTACAGTGAATTAATGGCAGGACTAGGAGCCTATACTCTATACCAATGGTTAAGATTACTATCCTTATCTTCTACATCTTTTTCATTTCCTCTACCAAATCATGTAATACTCTAGTCTACATTCACTTTAGTGTTAAATCTAAGATATGGTTCTTATTTTTAAAATCTCATATTTATTCCATATTCATTATTTGACTTAACTAAATTTAATTTTTATCTGTGATATAAATTTTAAAAAGTCAAATTATACTAAAACATCTAAAACCAAAATATTAGTCACCATTTGTCTTCCCAAAGGTAACCACTCTTTTCCTTATGGTATTTAATCCCATAATCCTAAAGAAGATGTTTATATTACTATGTCTTAATTTATACATTTTAGATATTATTGTTTTTCTCTGGAAGATACAGCACTCTACTTCCACCTCCTCTCATCTTTGAAGTAATACATAGATATATAATAGAGGTTAATAGCCCCGACTGTTGAGCAATACTACCTGGGTAAAATCCCACTTCAGCCCTTGTTTTAATTATTATTAATTTGTTTTTGTTACAGATGTTTCTCCTTTTTCCCTCATTGACACCCTCCTCCCCATCCCTCTCGCCCCTTCCCCAGCTTTGCTGTCTATTTTCATTGGTTATGGATACATGCATATAAGTTATGTGGTTTATTTCTCCCCCCTCCAACACCCCCTCTTCTGGGGTTTGTCAGTCTATACCCTATCTCTATGTCTCTGGGTCAATTTTGTTCATCAGTTTGTTTAGTTCATTTTATTCCACAAATAAGTGAGATCATGTGATATTTGTCCTTCTCTGCTTGGCTTGTTTCGCTTAGCATAATATTCTCCAGGTCCCTCCATGTTATCTCAAATATAACTTGAAATCTGGTCATGTGATCCCTCCAACTTTGTTCTTCGTTTTCAAGATTGCTGTGGCTATTTGGGGTCTTTTTTGGTTCCATATGAACTTTTGAAGTATTTGTTCTAATTCTGTGAAGTATGCCGTTGATATTTTGATGGGGATTGCATTGAATCTATAGATTGCTTTGGGTAGTATGGACATTTTAATGATGTTAGTTCTTCCAATCCATGAATAAGGTATGTGCTTCCACTTTTTTATATCTTCCTCTATTTCTTTTTTCAATGTCCTGTAGTTTTCTGTGAATAGATCCTTTATTTCTTTGGTTAAGTTTATTCCTAGGTATCTTAATTTTTTTTGCTGCAGTGGTAAATGGGATTGTTTTCCTAGTTTCTCTTCTGTGAGTTCATCATTTGTGTATAAGAATGCCGTCGATATTTTTATGTTAATTTTGTATCCTGCTACTTTGCCAAATTCATTTATTAAGTCTAGTAGATTTTTTTTTTCTTTTTTTTTTTTTATCCTCACCCGAGGATATTTTTCCATTTTTTTTGTTCAGACAGAGTGGGAGGGAAAGAGAGGAAGAGAGAGAGAAACATCGATGTGAAAGGGACACATCGAGTGGCTGCCACCCGCATGACCAACCAGGGCCGGGGACAAACTGCAACCGAAGTACGTGCCCTTAGCGGGAACCGAACCCGGGTCTCTCCGGACCGCAGGCCGACGCTTTAACCGCTGAGCCAAACTGGCCAGGGAAGTCTAGTAGATTTTTGATGGAGTCTTTGGGGTTTTCTACATATAATATCATGTCATCTGCGAATAATGACAGTTTCCCTTCCTCCTTACCAATTTGGATCCCTTTTATTTTTTCTTCCTGTCTCATTGCTGTGGCTAAGACTTCCAGTACTATGTTGAATAAGAGTAGCAAAACTGGGCATCCCTGTCTTGTCCCAGTTCTTTTTTTTTTTTCTCCCTCACCCGAGGACATTTTTTCATTGTTTGTTCAGATAACGTAGGAGGGAGAGAGAGGAAGAGAGAGAAAGAGAAACATCGACGTGAAAGGGATACATCGAGTGGCTGCCACGCGCACGACCAACCAGGACCAGGGACAAACTGCAACTGAGGTATGCACCCTTCGCGG